TTTTTGAGTAACTCTTTATATGTGTAAGAATACAAATGTATAACTCATTGCCCTTGGATGAATGGATGGGTAATTAGATGTGTAGGCGATTGAAATGGGTGGGTTAGAAGGTAACTTGTTTGAGTGGCATTTAAGTTACTTAGGTTAGAGGGGTTAGTGAGTGAGTGAGTGAGTTTGTGAACATGTGGCACGTAAAACCTACAAAACAGCAGATAACATACAGGAAACTTATGTCTGAAATATTTGAGGCAGTTAGAATGAACGTGTCGGTGGTGAATTTACATTGGGGATGTCATTACCGTAGCTTTAATAGAAGTGTTACTGAACTTGTATTTCTTGAACATCAGATAGACTTATACATAAGTAACCATGTTGGAACAATGGAAAGTAGGGGTATCGCATTACACCTATCTCCAATGAATGATTGTCGAAATATAATTCACTCTGGCAAGATTTCTTTTTCTCAGATACATAAGCTGGCTGGCTGACTTGTCAACTGCAACTAGTAATTCACATGATAGCAGATACTGTATACAGACATATGGGGAAGTCATTATTCATTTTCAGTTTCACATTTAAGTATAAATAATAATGTTAAATTATGAATATGTTTACCTCACAGAAAAAAAACACATCATCCAGAAGAAAACACATTAATATGGATATGTCAGTAGGGAAACTTTCACAAATTGATAAAAATCTGCTCATTTATTGTTTAACATCAGTGCATTGCTTGGAAATAAGCACATATGTCAGCGTGTACTTGTATCATGTATGAGATTAAAAGTTTCTGGTCCATTGTAACAGTTTTGATGGAAAGGTGTTCGAAATACATTGGTTTAGGTGCCTCAAGGCTTGAGATTTCACACTCGCCAATGAGTTGATATGTGTTTGTTTTGAATACACAATGCCAAGTTTGTTTCAACGTGAAAGATAGTTTTGTCAGTTATTGCTTGTTTGAAACATAATCACCTTAAGGCCAGATCAATTTTATTTCTTGTTTTACAGATCCGCCGGTCGTATGTTTTCAAGAATAAGAAAAAAAATACAAACTAATTTTCCCCGCTCAAAAAATAAAATCCTTATGTTTTTATTGGCCAAAAATGTAAACTTACAAGAAATTTTTGGGGATTGATTTTTGGGGCCCCATATACACTTCATAAATTGCCAGAAGCAAATGCTTTTAATATTTAGATGGAATATTACTTTAACTGGTGATTTTATTTGTATTTTTTCCCTCCTGCCTTTTAGGCTTTCTGAGGACAAAAATCTGTGAAACAAGAAATAAAATTGGTCTGGCCTAAATATAGAATAATGTAATGTCGAACAAGAGCACACGTCTAAAGTGACATCACCAAGACTGCATTTCAAGAATGATAGGGACTGTCGGGAGAAACTATAAGACTATTAACAGTTTATAAAGATTGTTAGTCCTGTCAGACTCAACCTGTTTCGGCAAGCAGTGCGAGATGTCTCCATCAGTTCAGCTCAACCAGTTACCTTACAACCAAACATTGAAGCTTGACTGTCATGTGTGCGTGGTAGCAAGCTGATGATGTTGGGGTGATGAAGACACACATGAGAGTGGTTTATCTGGGATTACAATTCAGAGGTTTTTCATTCTGTGAGCTGGTGAGCTTCGGAAGTTGTTGTTATAGTCGGAATGTTGGATTTATCTGTGAAGGCTGTCACTCACTGCCAGTTTCTTTTGTCAGTGTAAGGAGCCATGTTGCTGAAAATAACTGTTGCTTTTGTGTGGTCTAACCTGAAAAATATCATACACCTAGGATATAAAAATATATAATGACTAGTAATGGTAGTGGCCACAGTTTTGTATTGCAATACATTGCAATGATTATTTAGGTATTATTATATGATACAATCCATGCTTCACTAGATCGCTTAGATGTCATTAGTCCTTGTAACAACAATAACATGTCACTGGTACAGTATGACAAGTGTGAGGATCCTTGTGCTATGACAGTTGTGATACTGGCAAGTAGGTGCCTTACTCTGTGAGTAAAGGTTCGAATCCTGGAGGGGCGGTGGGGTAGCCTAGTGGTTAAAGCGTTGGCTCGTCATGCCGAAGGCCCAGGTTCGAATCCCCACATGAGTACAATGTGTGAAGCCCATTTCTGGTGTCCCCCGCCGTGATGTTGCTGGAATATTGCTAAAAGCGGCGTAAAACCAAATTCAGTCAGTCAGTCAGTCAGTCGAATCCTGGATGGGACTCCACCTCAAAAATACTAGAATCTTTACTGAGAAAGTGTAATCATTAGTTACCTTTGTTACATTGGACCACATTCTAAAAAGCATTGTGTTCTCATTATAAATTTCATAAGTATTTGAATTGTTGTAATTGTTTTTTAAATGGATATCAGTCAGTTTTCAAGGGAAATATAACAGAAACAGAAAGTTTTTTGTTTGGTAATATCAATGAGCATAATAAAATTGCTGGGGTGTTAAATGTACTTTGATGAATTTACCCACGAAGGTCCCGGGTTAGAATATTGATCTTAGTAACCCATGCTTGTTGTATGAGGCGACTAACGGGATCGGGATGGTCAGGCTTGTTGACGTGGTTGACACATGTCATTGGTTCCAAATTGTGAAGATTGATGCTCATGCTGATGATCACTGGATTGTCTGGTCCAGACTCGATTATTTACAGACTGCCGCCATATAGCTGGAATATTGCTGAGTGTGGCATGAAGCTAAACTCACTCACTCACTTTGATGAATTAACCAAGACTAGAGTGTTTGTGTGGCCTTCAAAGTCCCAATAGAAATACCTAGGTTTGTTTGCAGTGAAAACGTACTGATGATTTTCACTTTAAACAAAAAAGTAAATCAAATAAGTGAAATTAATATTGCTAATCGTCTTAATTTTACCTTGCCAATTGAACATTTAAATCTGAGAATTTTATTCATCTTAGGATAAAAGTTGTTCAAAAAACGATCATACATTGAAATGGCTATCATTGGTTTGTATTACAAGGGGGTAAGCGCAGTAGTTGGAACAGTGAAACAAATGCACGTACGGTGCATGATGAGTGTTAACTTAGACCAACCCTACTTGTTCTCGGTGTTTCATGTAATGTGCATACCCCCTTGTAAAACAAACCAATAATAGCAATTTGAAACTATGATCGTTTGTTAAACAACTTTTATCCTAAGTTGAATAAAATTCTGAGATTTTAATGTTCATTTGGCAAGGTAAAATTATGAGGATTCCGATCATGATTCCACTTTATTCGATTTACTTTTTTGTTTAAATTGAAATTCCTCTGTACGTTTTCACTGCAAACAGACTATAGGTTTGTTTGTTTACTGTTTAGCATTATATTGAGTAATATTTCTGCTGTGAGATGGTAGTCTGTAAATACTTGAGTCTGGACCAGACAGTCCAGTGATGATATTGAGATTTTGGCTGCCCAAGTACAAGGATCCTGTCAACCATGCAGGGGTACCCACCATTGTCACATCCAGCCAACCCACATTTCTGACTGGTATTTAAGATGACTAGATTTTGGTTAAAAAACATCTAGTTCATCTCCATTGCTAGTCAAAACCTCAGAGTAATGGACAGAGCCTGTGTCTTATATCAGTAGAGGACGTAACGTGTACTGTATATAGCATGGTCATCATGATTATATGGTCCCTGCCAAGTTCCACACCCTGACCACGGACTCCATTAGCACGCCTCTAGCGACCGACAGATTGCTGGAGGCCACAAACGGTTTGTAATGAAGCAGTGAGGTTGAAGTGTCCAAAAAACTAATGTTAGTTTAACTCTGTAAATGACAGAAAAGTCAAATCCTGAACATGTAGAGTCAATGCAGATAAATAAAAACGTGTTTGTGCATAGTAATTGTGCGTGTCTGCATTTGAGCAGAAATACATCCTGCTTCACTTTTTATTAACCAATGTAAATATTGACGAGTTCGGTTATTGGGTCGGGTAGACAAATTGAAGCGACTGAGGCTGAATGGTTTACACAAACCGTGGTTTACCAGAGCTGTCATTGTGGAAACTTATTTGTCTACAATAAAAGTGTGCTGTTCAGCTGATCATGCTGATAATGATTATACACACAGCAGAAACTTGTTTGTAGATGATAATGATAATGTGTTCAGCTGATAACAGCTATATGCTTAACAGAAGGGGCGATGGGGTAGCCTAGTGGTTAAAGCATTAGCTTGTCACACCGAAGACCCAGGTTCGATTCCCCACATGGGTACAATGTGTGAAGCCTATTGCTGGTGTGCCCCACCATGATATTGCTGGAATATTGTTAACAGTGGCGTAAAACTAAATTTACTCACACTTAACAGAAACTTGTGTGTGAAACTGGTTCTGGATTAAGCACTTTGAAAGTTTCCTTGTTTGTGAGACAAGATAAGGACTGATTAATTTACCTCACTGATTGATTTAGTGTATAAGGAGGACATATAAGGATGCAGTATAAGCATTGGATTACATGCCAAGGTTATAAACATAGATATGTCAGTAATAATATATTATTATAGAGTTTAAATACTGCAGGCATGTATCTTCTGATTTTTTAAATAAAAAGCCATATTTATTTGTTCCTGAAGAAGCAAATTAGTAGAACACATATAAAAACATAATAATATCTTTCATATCCTTTTTCAGTATTCTCTGTAAACATCCATACCATTTTGAAAATTTCCTGTGGACAGAATGACAAAAAACAGTGTTAAGAATTTGTACTTGTAACGCACACATGCACAGAAAGTTAAACCCATAATGTTAATTGACTAGAAGACAATCTCCTCCCCAAAGCGTGAGAGTTGGTGGGTATGTAGATCACATTAATCATCATTACTATGACGAAGGAAGAGAAATCTGTCTCACTGTATTATGGTACCATAAAGAATATGAGGTAGTAATGGTTGTTAAGTATCCTTGCTTACCCAGTGGCGTATAGCCTGTACTGTAAACTCCAGCCTCAGGGTAATTGTACTTCCTTATTGTAGGACTCACCCACCATGGAGATCAGCCTGCAACAATGGCCAGGTTGAAACATTGGTGAGAGTTAAATTACCCTATCAGCTTACACGATCTCCTCAGAGGCCTATATCCACTGATAAGATTAGCTAGCTGGAAGAGAGTGAGTTAGCAGGCCAGCAAGAGGGATGTTTGTTTTTGTCATTACTGCAATGATGAAGGAGTAGAGAGAGTACTGCCATGCGTTACACCACCATATGTTGTCTGCATCTTCACGGGATCAGTCTACACTGACTGAAGGAACACATGCCTTGTTGGGGATTCGTTTGATGTGTGACGTATTGTGGAGGCAGGTAACAGTTCGGAAACAGTGGGGATGATTTAGAAGTGAGGTGTCATGTTGTCTCAGGCAAAATTCAAGGACTGATACGCTGTGGAGATGGAGGATGGTTTAAAGATATAGTCAATCCCTCAGTTCATTGATCGTGGCAAATGGATTACCTGACGGAGACGGCTTTAGATGTGGAAGGTGGCATTCTGGAAGAATGGAAGGAATATTTATGATCACAGTATTTACCAAAGTGCATGCTTCATAGAATGTGATGTAGAGTTGAGGATATGTGTAAACAAAGTTGGGGGTTTGGTTATCAATGGCATCAGGCTTCAACATGTAGTTTCTCATCTTTTTGCATCTCTTGTGGAATGAAATAAGTGTGGAGGAGAGTTTCTGAAATTTTAATATCTGCTCAAAATTGCATACAAGATTTTGAAATGAATTGTGAAGAACTATATGTTTTTTACATATTGGTGATTGTCAATTGGTCATTGTTCAGGATCATAGATTTGGTCTTTTCAGTGTTTTTAGAGAACATACAAAAATTTATGTTGCAAGTTTTATACACATGTGCCAGTTTTTCTGTCACATGACTGACTATGCCTTGAGTTTTACTGAAGATTATTTGTGGGATTATGTATTATCATTTTAAAGATTTTGCTTGCAGATGCTATTGATTAATTAAGATAATTATAGCGGATATTTACAGCCACGGGTGGGAAACTCTATCAGATACATTGTCAGATGTGATAGTGCTTTACCCAGCATGTGTTGTGTCTGACAGTCAAGAGATTCACTAAAATATTTGTGTCAAGCATGTCACCTTCAGTAGTGTTGAGGAATATAATAATCAGCGAGGAGATCCTTTGAAAAGTTACTGTCCTTTGAGAGTGTTAAATATTTAAAAGTTTCTCACTTTAAAAATGGGTGTGAATGGGTACCTCGTAAGGATGGGAAAGCCGCAATAACTCGGAGCGCCTTGTGGCTGCAAGAGTTGTATGCTCCATTGAGGGAGTTGAGATTGATAATAAGATGTGCCGTTGAGATTGACATCCAATGATCGAGGGCCAAAAATACCAGCGCCTTGAGCATGCACTAGTGCCTGGATATGTGCGCTATGTAAATATACTGATAATACTACTACTACTAATAATAAAATAAGCATCAAAGTCAAAGGATCTTAGTCATGACTTGTCTTGGGAAGTGGTTGAAATCTCATAATTGATGATTGGCTCATAATTAACGAATGTAAAATTATGCAACTTGCTACAGTAAAGTGATGACTAATATATCATAAACATATACTTCCCAGAATCTTCAAGAAATATTCAGTCAAGTGTTTCAAAAACTAAAACAGTAGTTCCAAAATCGTTTGCATTCAATTATGAGAAAATGTGATCGATTGCATGGTCGTTTGGTCATTGCGATCAATCGATTATTTCAATTAATTGGAACACCGCTAGTCATAACCATGATAATTTGTATTTAATTAATCAGGGGTCTTTAATTAAAATCTTTAAACATAAGACAGACTTCAAAGACAAGGCTCTTTATTTGCAAAACATGTCAGTATTCCCTTCAATGTACAGGTTTTATTTTTTGCATACATTCAAGTTAAATAGGTAAACTTTGTGCTGAAATAAGCGTTTTGTTTTGCATTAGTGATTTCTTTCATCTGCATAATCGTCAACCATCTTGTTTCAGAAAGAACCAATATGGCTCCAGACAGACACGTGTGGCACTGACTGGTGACACCCAGACAGGGACTACAAGCAGGATTGCTGACACCTGCTATTCTTGTGTAACCTTAACCTAATTAAGTTACCTGTGACCTATTTGCACGCCCTGAAGCTGATCGCTCACAAACCAGTATGGGTTGTTTACAGTCCACACCTAAAAAAGACTTTGATGACCCCTCTAGCATTGGAGATGGAAAAAAAGGGGTGGATAATCTGGACAAGCAGAATGACAAAGGGAAAAAGAAAGTTCGGAACAGCTATGATAAGGACCCCACCAGCCTCCGAGTAAACACATCAGCATTCAGTAAGTACAACAAAATCAAGACTTAGTGGAATTCAATGTATTGGCCTTGACCTTCAGTGACCTTTCCATTCACAATTTCTTTTCAGCCCATTTAGCTCCATATTGTGCTCAAGTTAGTGCTGGCGCGACTAATCGACTAATCAATTAATCGATCAATTTCGGGAGCTTTAATCAATATTTTTTAAATAGATACCAAATTCAACTTTAAAAAGTATGTTTCTTATTGTTATGTTTGTTAAATCAGACATAAACAACTGATGCAGAGTCCTGATGTAGCAACATACTCGTGTGCATCTCTCAGCATTAAGTGAGTGAGTGATTCAGTTAGTTTATTTTACGCCGCACTCAGCAATATTCCAGCAATATGATGGCAGTCTGTAAATAATCGAGTCTGGACCAGACAGTCAAGTGATCAACAGCATGAGCATCAATCTACACAATTGGGATATGATGACGTGTCAACCAAGTCAGCGCGCCTGACCACCCGATCCCACAGTTAGTATCCTCGATCGTCTTGACCATAGAATTAATCGGTGCATGTTTCGTTTGTACAATGTTATCATTATGTCCAGTTATTGCCCACGTGAGTTTTGTAGTGGGGTTTACGATTTCAGTCGATTATTGATTACTGAGCTCTGATAATCGATCTGCGTATTGTGAGTGATAACTAGCTAAAATCATGTTTATTGTTTAAAATGATAAGTTACAAATAGTGTTATTAGCTATGGTAATCTTTGATCACACAACATCTGACATTCAAACCTGTCCTGTGCTTAAGATCAGATGATGGAATCAAGTAAATTCATGCAGAAATATGCCGGGAAATTCTACCAGATCAAATATTGTACATTTCTGCCACAAATTGCTGTCACTGGAAGTATGGTGATACATTCCCAAGCCCTGAAATCAAGAAAAGGACAAGAAAGTCATCACTAATAAGATGGGTGACTTTTCTTCATGACCTCAGGGACCGCCTCCGTGGTGTAGTGGTTAGAACATCCGCCCGGAGAGTGGAAGGGCGTGGGTTTGATCCCCGACCGCTTCATACCAAATGACATTAAAATGTGGTACTTGTTGGTCCCTGCCTGGCGCACGGCATTAATGGGTACATCAAGGACTGGTCGGCTCGAAGTCAGTATAATGTGTCTGAGTGGGGTATTCATGCTTCACTGCGGCATGGTATCTCAGTGGGCTGGCACTATAAAACCAGCTTAAGTCTGGGCTAGTACAAGCAGCCGCACATACACATGCACACGCATGCACGTCGTCATATGAGCGAAATATTCTCAAGCACGACGTTAAACCCAATTTCACCTCACCTCACCTCACCTCACCTCACCTCATTGTACAGCTTTTCTACATGAAATCTGGAAATATACAATAGGTCCAAGTCTTTTCTGTCATACAGACTATGAAAGAAATATAGTCCACTACAGCCCATGCAAGTCTATAATAGGTGTCAAGACTGTATTACTACAGGTTCAATGAAGAGAATCTCTGGGCTCCTGTATACTTTGGTATTAAGTAGGGATTCCACGATACATCGATACATCGATACCTTTTCTTAGATGATACAATTATCGATACATTCAAAACTGTATCAATATTTAGTTTTGAAAGTATCGGTTTAAATATGTTTATGTATCGTTTACATTTTGCAATTGTATCATGTTTTTGATGTTATGAGAGTTATAAATGATTATTTTTATGCAGAAGGATGGGAAATTAGAACTTTTTAACCTCTGAGAATAAAAAATGTTGATCTTTTCATTGACAATTATAAAAAATGAAAAATTAATGTTCAAAATGTAACTAAATTTTACGCAGTAATGCCGCGAAAATAAGTATCGCATTACGTATCGAATCGATGACATGGGTATCATGATGCATATCGATTCATGAAACTTATGTATTGTGACAGCCCTAGTATTAAGATAATTAACCTTTTATTTGGGAAAATGTTTAAATTTCAGAGACTAGATGTTAATGTGTTCCAGGTCCTACCCAAATGTTTTCAACAGTTTAAGACAGATGGTATGGTTATAAGTCCCCAAGGGAAATCAGTGTTTAGCGTTTAGGACATCAGCTAGATCACCTTGTTGACAGAAGGGCTGGGTTGGCTCAACTTTCCCCTTTCTGTGGTTCCTGCACTTAGGGAACATGAAGTTCTACATCTGGTTCCATGACAAGCATTTGAACAGGCTGAGACGAAGCTGTTCTTCATATTAGAAATTATGGGGTGTATTGGAAGTTTGTCATCCATGGCATAGGCGATGGAATGGATTTGGCATTAGGCATATGGGAATCAGTTTCAGATGTTAATTACGTAATCTCCAACAGAAGTGATGCCAGAAGAGCTGCTATGTAAGTGGCAAGGGGTCTAGTGATGGCTCATGTTCCATGAGGAAGTTCCAGGTGGGGGCAGCATTGTGATGCACTTTCATTGTACCTATGTCTCCTTGGAGATATTCTAGGAATAGGAAATCCTGCACCTCGGCAATATCACTTGTCCTCACCCATGTGACATCAACTGTGGAAGTCCAATTTAGTTGTTAAATATATTTTAATGTTCAAAGAAAGTCAACAATCAAACCATGTTGCAGTCTTGTCAGCAAATATTTCATTTTCTCTATAAACTCGTTAAGATGTAATAATCTCCCGACCCTTGTAGAAATCATTCTCTTGTTCTATGTGATGGTAAGGTAGCCTAATGGTCACAGTGTTCGAAAGTCCATATCTGATGAAAAGTTCATCAGGTTGAAGACATGTGGAAAGCCAATATCTGGTGTTGCCCACTGTGATATTGTGTACATTTTGCTGAATGTGTTGTAAAACCATATATATTCACTCTAATACTATTTCCTCCATTTAAGTTGCTTAACGTGTCAGAATGTCGTATAAGCCAGTTTGTTTTCTGTTCACCCATGGCGATGATGGTGGCACGGTGTAACTGCATATGTATCCATGTGGCTGCATTTAAACATTCCTAACTGATTGACTGACAGCCCAGTTTGTACAGAAAAAGTGATCGATCCTGGTAGTGACCATGGAGGCTGGCACTTGCACTGATAGGAACTTGACTTAACGAGATTATCTCTGTTTGTAGTTTGAGGTGAGGTGAGGTGAAACTGGGTTTAACGTCGTGCTTGAGAATATTTCGCTCATATGACGACGTGCATGCGTGTGTATGTGTATGTGCAGCTGCTTGTACTAGCCCAGACTTAAGCTGGTTTTATAGTGCTAGCCCACTGAGATACCATGCCGCAGTGAAGCATGAATACCCCACTCAGACACATTATACTGACTCCGAGCCGACCAGTCCTTGTTGTACCCATTAATGCCGTGCGCCAGGCAGGGGACCAACAAGTACCATATTTTGACGTCTTTTGGTATAACGCAGTCAGGGATCGAACCCGCGACCTTCCGCTCTCAGGGCAGACGCTCTAACCACTACACTACGGAGGCGGTCCCTTTGTAGTTTGAAAGCCATTGGTTTTATGTGTGGATACTGAAGGTATATCCACACGCAGGGGAGATACTGTCACAGGAGTACATGTAGTGAAATGTTTATTTCTGTGTTTCAGTCAAAGGGAGTTTAATTACCACTTCACATTTCATATTCTTATGAAGAGGATGCCCAAGATTTTGAACGGAGACAAATTATTGTTTCAGCTCCAACTGCAAAATCAATTATGCTTTTAGTTAAAACTATGAGCCTTAATAATAAAAATATATTTCTTTTTTAAAAAAGCAACTTGCAATAATGTATTGGTTGTGGCAGACATTTTTTTTTCAAAAGCCTGAACAGTTATTTTAGGAAAATATATTCTGATGACAATATGTTTTGGGGGATAGAATCAAAGCCCCTACTTTATAACCAAGAATGTCAATTAGATGGTTCCTGTTTGCTGTTACACGTTCTATGACATGATGAGAGATATGATCATTTGCGAAGATAGTCTTTTTAATTTTATCAGATATGAAACAAAACAACTAAGCCATAAAAGAACATAGCATATTGTCAGTTGTACCTGTGAAGTAGGGCCAGTGGTTAAAGTGTTTGGTCATCATACAAGAAACTCAGGTTCAATTCCCCACATGAGTACTGTCTGTAAATTCAATTTCATTTTCATAACGCATGTGAATGTCTGAGTTAGATTTGGTTTTCAGCCACTTGTCGTCAGAGGTTGAGATGAGGTGGTCAGACTGACATATCCATGACTTGGTTTAGGCATGCATCCTAATCGCATAGATGGATTTTGCTGATGTCTGTCAGTGGATTATCTACTCCAGACTTGATTATTTACAGAGCAACATGACATAATACAACAGGAATATTGCTGAGTGGAATTACACAACAAACAAACAAATAAACAAACTAAACAAACACTCTTAAACCTGCCTATTGCACTTTTAGGTTCTACCAGCCTCTGTCCTTGAAGGTGGAACAAAACAGGGAGAAAGACATTTTAAAATCACTGTCGGGATTAATGTTGACGAGCAATTGTCTAGTTTGTGTTGATGTTGGTTCATCCCTGCTCTATAAGACTCATCGTAGCTTTTGTAGCTTTTGTCAATGAAGGAATGTACTTTCCAGCAAGAGATGTGTGTCACGATGACACTGATTTTGTTACAAGCTACATGGGGAACCAGGTGTGATGTCACTTCTAACATGATGGCTTTGTTTGGGACAAAGGTCAAGGCTGATCAGAGTTTTAAACTTCAATCTTGTTGAGACTGGATACAAATAAGTTTCATTCAGAAATTTTGTGTTTTCATTATTTTCTGAAGTCATTGTTGACAAACATGTTGTAACTTCCTGATTTTCTTGTCCTATATTTAAAACATGATTGAAATAAAAGTTACACACACATGGTATTTCTCATTCAGAAATGTAAGAATCAACATTGCGAATGTTTGTTTACGAAACTTAAGACAGTTTGATCCTATTTTTGGGGAAAAGGGTTTAATACATACATGTTTAATCCCTGAGAATGCAG